GCCCCGCCCATTAAATGTCATGACGAGATATTGGGACACCATTGATAGCGGTTACTAGGATGTCACGCTGATCCTCCGGCTACAACATCTGACAAGGAAGCGTTGGTTCGCACACTCGCTCTGGGGTCCATGACTCAATGTTCTGAAGGCAGAGGATCGGCATGACTCCCATGCTCAGGTCCTCTATTCACCACCAAGGCAATACCCGCCCCCAGTCATGTCTGCCAGATGGAGGAGTCCCCTAGTGATGACATCATCATCGTGTCCCCCAGTCATTTCTGCCAGATGGAGGAGTCCCCTAGTGATGACATCATCATCGTGTCCCAGAAATACCGAGTGACCTTTCATGGAGAGGAATGCAGCATTGCTGGATAAACATATTCCGAGTCTACAGAATCCGAGAGGAAATGCTGAGGCAGAACATGTTCCCCCAAACCACAGAGGACAACATAGAGGGCGAGAGGAGTGAGACTGCAAATACAGCAAAACACAGCGAGATCATACATTGCACCCTCCATGTGTCACACCTACATGTCATGCTCTGATCCCCCCACACCGCAGAACATACATCGCACCCCCCCACGGGGCACGTACAGGGACAGAACCCCCCCAAGGGGCACGTACAGGGACAGAACCCCCCCACGGGGCACGTACAGGGACAGAACCCCCCCCACGGGGCACGTACAGGGACAGAACCCCCCCCACGGGGCACGTACAGGGACAGAACCCCCCCCACGGGGCACGTACAGGGACAGAACCCCCCCCACGGGGCACGTACAGGGACAGAACCCCCCCCACGGGGCACGTACAGGGACAGAACCCCCCCCACGGGGCACGTACAGGGACAGAACCCCCCCCACGGGGCACGTACAGGGACAGAACCCCCCCCACGGGGCACGTACAGGGACAGAACCCCCCCCACGGGGCACGTACAGGGACAGAACCCCCCCCACGGGGCACGTACAGGGACAGAACCCCCCCCACGGGGCACGTACAGGGACAGAACCCCCCCCACGGGGCACGTACAGGGACAGAACCCCCCCCACGGGGCACGTACAGGGACAGAACCCCCCCCACGGGGCACGTACAGGGACAGAACCCCCCCCACGGGGCACGTACAGGGACAGAACCCCCCCCACGGGGCACGTACAGGGACAGAACCCCCCCCACGGGGCACGTACAGGGACAGAACCCCCCCCACGGGGCACGTACAGGGACAGAACCCCCCCCACGGGGCACGTACAGGGACAGAACCCCCCCCACGGGGCACGTACAGGGACAGAACCCCCCCCACGGGGCACGTACAGGGACAGAACCCCCCCCACGGGGCACGTACAGGGACAGAACCCCCCCCACGGGGCACGTACAGGGACAGAACCCCCCCCACGGGGCACGTACAGGGACAGAACCCCCCCCACGGGGCACGTACAGGGACAGAACCCCCCCCACGGGGCACGTACAGGGACAGAACCCCCCCCACGGGGCACGTACAGGGACAGAACCCCCCCCACGGGGCACGTACAGGGACAGAACCCCCCCCACGGGGCACGTACAGGGACAGAACCCCCCCCACGGGGCACGTACAGGGACAGAACCCCCCCCACGGGGCACGTACAGGGACAGAACCCCCCCCACGGGGCACGTACAGGGACAGAACCCCCCCCACGGGGCACGTACAGGGACAGAACCCCCCCCACGGGGCACGTACAGGGACAGAACCCCCCCCACGGGGCACGTACAGGGACAGAACCCCCCCCACGGGGCACGTACAGGGACAGAACCCCCCCCACGGGGCACGTACAGGGACAGAACCCCCCCCACGGGGCACGTACAGGGACAGAACCCCCCCCACGGGGCACGTACAGGGACAGAACCCCCCCCACGGGGCACGTACAGGGACAGAACCCCCCCCACGGGGCACGTACAGGGACAGAACCCCCCCCACGGGGCACGTACAGGGACAGAACCCCCCCCACGGGGCACGTACAGGGACAGAACCCCCCCCACGGGGCACGTACAGGGACAGAACCCCCCCCACGGGGCACGTACAGGGACAGAACCCCCCCCACGGGGCACGTACAGGGACAGAACCCCCCCCACGGGGCACGTACAGGGACAGAACCCCCCCCACGGGGCACGTACAGGGACAGAACCCCCCCCACGGGGCACGTACAGGGACAGAACCCCCCCCACGGGGCACGTACAGGGACAGAACCCCCCCACGGGGCAGTCTTTGTTGAGTGTTTGCAGACACCGCTCTGATGGTGATGAGCACTGCAGATTGTCTGCAATGCAGCCGTGGCAGCTCCGTCCCCAATAACAAATCAATTGCTGTCACAGCGCGATCCACACGCAGACCACCTACCTGGCTAGGACTAGGCCACACGCAGACCACCTACCTGGCTAGGACTAGGCCACACGCAGACCACCTACCTGGCTAGGACTAGGCCACACGCAGACCACCTACCTGGCTAGGACTAGGCCATTGACAATGACATTCTTGAATGGTGGCTGACCGAACAGAGCAGTGGAAAGCACGAGCAGTGTGTAGAACCTGAGGATAGAGAACAGACGGGTAAAACCTGATTCTCCGGCAGCCAGCCAATAGAAAGGCAGCGCGCTCACCATCCGCGTGTCTGGTCGATTCCCTCCGCTATAAAGTCAGCCGGGAAAGAGTCTTCAAACTCCCTTCTGTTCTCAAACGGGTAATGCACCTGAGCGTAGGGCATGCTACCGCTCTCAAACCAGCAATCAAAGACCTCGGTCACCCGTCGCAGGACGCCCTTCCCACAGCGAGACGGAATGGTCAGCTGATCCACACTGATCAATAAACAACATCAATTAGAGGCGCGTCCCTAAGAATGTGGGGTGAGCGTGTCCTTATGGTAAAGGTGAGTGCCCACACCTGGGAAGGGATCTCAGAGCCGGAGTGCCCACACCTGGGAAGGGATCTCAGAGCCGGAGTGCCCACACCTGGGAAGGGATCTCAGAGCCGGAGTGCCCACACCTGGGAAGGGATCTCAGAGCCGGAGTGCCCACACCTGGGAAGGGATCTCAGAGCCGGAGT